CATCACACCACACCATCACCACCAACAGCAACACCATCACCACCACCAAACCACCATCACCATCATTACTATCACCATCTCACCATCACCACCATCACCACTACTGTCAACACCATTCCCATTGCCATCACAGCACCATGACCATCACCACCATTATTACCACCACCACACCATCACCACCACCAACAATACCACCATTACCACACCATCACCACCAACAATACCACCATTACCACACCATCACCATCACAGCAGTAACCAGGCTCACTCTCCCCTTCGCTGGTGTATCAGTGTCCACCACCACACCATCACCACCAACAATACCATCCCCATCACACCACCACCACCACCACTGCTATCACCTCCAGAACAACTCACCTTTATGGAGCACGTACTGCATGTCAGGTGCTGGTCTAAGCAGTGAGCATGTCTCCCTCTGGGAACCCTCACACGCACATAAGACAGGCATGAGGATCACTGTCTCCATTTTTACAGGAGAGAAAGCAGATTAGGATAAATTCAGGGGCTTCCTCGTGAGCGTCGGAGCCGGAAATCCAATCAGATGCTTGGTCTCCTTCATTCGTGGGAAAAATATTTCCTCCGAGGGTCTCCTCTTACCAGGCAGCATTCTAGGTGCTGCGGGCACAGAACTGTTAGAGACAGAGGTGGGAGGGCTGCGTTCCAGAGTGCATGTGTGTGAGCATATGTGTGTGTGTGCATGCCTACACACGCAAGCATGTGTGGGTACATGTGGGTGGGGCAGGGGCACAGACCATGAAGAGGGAGGGGTGACTCCCATCTTCCTGTCTTCATTCTTCTCCTGAAGGAAAATCATGGGATATCTCCCCCGCCCCCTCCAGCTTGTAGTCACTTAATAAATACTGACAGCGCCCAGCTGTGGTGCTCATCTGGGGACACAGGGCTAAAGAAACAGACGTTTTCTCTTCTGGGACACACACATCTGGTGATCACCACTAACAACAACACCATTACCACACCATCACCGCCACCAACATCATCATCATCACCAACAGCAACACCATCACCAACAACAACATTACCACACCATCACCAACACCACCATTACCACACCACCAACAACAACAACATTACCACACCATCACCAACACCACCATTACCATACCACCAACAACAACATTACCACACCATCACCAACAACAACAACACCATTACCACACCATCACCACCAACAACATTATCACCATCACCAACAACAACACCATCACCATCATACCATCACCACCAACTACAGCAACACCATCACCACCAACAGCAACACCATCACCACAACCATCACCACCAACAGCAACACCATCACCACCAACATCATCATCACCACCACTACACCATCACCACCACACGATCACCACCAACAGCAACACTATCACCATTACTGCCAATAACACCACACATCATCACCAACAACATTATCACCATCATATCAACAACAACAGCAGCACCATCACCATCACCACCGATAACAACACCACATCATCATACCAACACCATCACCATCATACCAACAACAACTAGAGCAACACCATCACGAACAGCCACACCATCACCACCAACAGCAACACCATCACCACCACACTACCACCAACAACAGCAACATCATTACCACCAATAACAACACCACACCATCATCACCAACACCATCACCATCCTACCACTGACAGCAATACCATCACCACCAACAGCAACACTATTACCATCACCACCATCACCAACAACACCATACCATCACACCACACCATCACCACCAACAGCAACACCATCACCACCTTCTAGGTGCTGCGGGCACAGAACTGTTAGAGACAGAGGTGGGAGGGCTGCGTTCCAGAGTGCATGTGTGTGAGCATGTGTGTGTGTGCATGCCTACACACGCAAGCATGTGTGGGTACATGTGGGTGGGGCAGGGGCACAGACCATGAAGAGGGAGGGGTGACTCCCATCTTCCTGTCTTCATTCTTCTCCTGAAGGAAAATCATGGGATATCTCCCCCGCCCCCTCCAGCTTGTAGTCACTTAATAAATACTGACAGCGCCCAGCTGTGGTGCTCATCTGGGGACACAGGGCTAAAGAAACAGACGTTTTCTCTTCTGGGACACACACATCGGGTGGGAAGAGCCAGACGATCGGGGATGACACTGAGGGGGGAGGACCTGGAGCCTGGAAGAGGCGAGGTGACGAGTCGGTGGGTGTCAGGGAGTCGGCGGGGTGTCCCGGACTCCGGTCTGCGTCTTTCTACAGCTCACAGCCCTGCCCGGGGAGAGGTTCTCCACGGCCCTCCTGACCCGGAAGCCGAGCCCCGTGCACCCACGGCTCTAAGGCCTCCTGTCCCCCGTGTCCCAGCCGCCACACCCGTGTCACCATCACACGGCAGAGCCACGGTTCACACTGGCAGCCTCACGAGACCCACAGGGCCGGCATGGCGGGTGCACTGGTGTCACTGTGGCTTCGTGCTCTGCCTGGCACGGCTTCCTGTCTCTGACTTTCGCGAATGAACGAGGAGCTGTGGGTGTGTGAGGACATCACCAGGTGACAGGGGAGGAGGGGCTGGCGCCAGAGGCCGAGGAGAAGAAACGGGTCCTTATGATGCAGCTTTTATTTCAAAAAATAAGAAACCCAGCCTGTCCGTTTCCTGCGTCAGCCGACCAGACGGCAGCTGTCCTCCCGTCCGTCCGCGCTGCTGGGCCGGGTCGGGCCCTGTGGTTTCCCGGGTCCGGAAGCCCTGGGCCCACAGC